AAAAGCTGGAAGTGGCGCTGTGGCTCAAGTGGTAGAGCACTAGCCTTGAGCTGAAGAGCTGAGGGACAGTGCCCAGGCCCAGAGTTCAGGCCCCCTGACAATAGACAAAACAAAAACAGACATGTATTTCTGCAAAGCTAAAAATAATACCTTAAAAGGTGGTGTAGTATTAAATAATTTACAATGAATATTCTGATTAAAACTTTTGCCTTAAGTAACTTTTATGTCAAGGGCTTAGAAATATAAACAGCACATAATAAGCAGCACTATACAAGGGTTAGCAGCTGGTAGCACTATTCAGTGCTGTATCTCAATATTTAGTACAGACACAAACATAATGAACGGCAATATTACAGGTGTTAACTGACTAGTTAATAAATCTTCATCCACACACAATTAGACATTTAAATTCTACATTATACATTTACAGTCCATTTCCTTTTCTTTGAATAGACAGAAAAAAATTACACCATAAATAAAACCAACTTGTATTTTCCCTGATCTAGCTAGCCCAATAATATCACAAAACCACATGTAAGGATAAGTATCACCAGGGAATTACATGCTGACACCTGGGACAGCCATACCTGGGAGGTTTATAGTATGAAAGTCCCTCCAACAACCGATGCCAATGTTTATTCAGTTCCGCTTCAATCTGATTCTGCAAAAGAATAATTGGAAGACTTCAGAATCACACTAAGCATGACATAGTCCTTTTTTCTTTTTGTGAGTCTTGGGAATTGAACTCAGGGCCTGGGCACTGTCCCTGAACTTCTTTTTGTCAAGGCTAGTATTCTACCACTTTAGCCACAGCTTTTTCTGTGTATGCGATACTGAGGAATCAAACCCAGGGAACTTCATGCATGCTAGGCAAGCACTCTACCACTAGGCCACATTCCCAGCTCCTTCCTTCAGTCTTTAAAATGTACTTCCCCCAATAGTTTAGATCATTTTCAATACAGAATTCTGTAACCTCCTTTGCTTAACATGATGGCACAACAATTTAACCTTATTATGGAAATTCTGACAAATATACTTTTTAATGATTACCAAGGCAAGTAGCTAGATCATAATCTAGCATTCTCTTAATAGTAGATAACTTAAAGTGACCATAATACTTTATTAACATAAATAATGATGTGACGGAAGTGGCGCTGTAGCTCAAGTGGTAGAACGCTTGCCTTGAGCTGAAGAGCTGAGGGATAGCGCCCAAGCCCAGAGCTCAAGCCCCATGACCAACAACAACAACAAAAAAAAGCTGTAAATAATGATATGAAGTGCCTTATATGCAAATTTTTGTGTTGTTTTTTTTTTTGTGTGCCAATTCAGGGGTTTGAACACAGAGCCTGCACATTATCCCTGAGCTTTTGTGCTCAAGGCCAGCACTCTACTACTTGAGACACAGCTCCACTTCCGACTTTTTGGTAGTTCATTAGAGATAAGAGTTTCACAAACTTTCCTGCCCAGGTTGGCTTTGAATGTGATCCTTAGATCTTTCAGCTGAATAGCTAGGACTATAAGCATAAGACGCCAACATCTGGCCAATTATTATTTTTTTAAATATTGGAGTTTGAACTCATGGTTTCATACTTGCTAGGCAGGTGTTCTACCACCTGAGCCATGCACTTATTCCATTATGCACAAGACATTTTCAGGATTCCGTACTCTGAGAATTCATTCCAGAAGTGCAATTATAAAATGAAGGCATATCAAGGGCTGGGAAGTTGGCTCAGTGGTAGAGTGTTTGCCTTGCATGCCTGAGGCCCTGGGTTCGATTCCTCAGCACCATATAAGCAAAAAGAAAAAAAAAAAGCCAGAAGTGGCACTGTGGCTCAAGTGGTAGAGTACTAGCCTTGAGGGACAGCACTCAGGCCCAGAGTTCAGGCCCCACAACTAGACAAAAAAAAAAAATGAAGGCATATCAAAAGATATAGAGGTCTAGGGGGCACCAGTGACTCACCCTAGCTACTCAGGAGGCTGATCCAGAGGACTGTAGTTCTCTTCAAGACTCCATCTCCAAAATAACTGCAGGGCACTGGTGGCTCACGCCTGTAATCCTAGCTACTCAGGAAGCTGAGATTTGAGGATTGCAGTTGAAAGCCAACGTGGGCAGGAAAGTCTGTGAAACTCATCTCTAATAAACTACTTAGAAAAAGCCATAAGTGGCACTGGCTCAAGTGGCAGAGTGCTGGCCTGGAGCACAAGCTGAGCTAGTGAAGGCGTGTGGCTCAACGGGCAAAGTTTTAGCTAAGCAATCAAGCACAAGGCCAAGTTCAAACCCTGATGGGGGGGTGAGGGATATTAAGTGATAGGGCCACCCAGGAGAAATGGCCCCTACCCTTGCTTCTTTCCTCCTGCACCCTAGAAATTTCCAGCACCTGTAACCAGGCAACTAGCATGCGTGGCGGCACTATGAGGTCCCTCAGGCTCTGAATCCCCATCCTGTGAGGTTACCTCCACATGTCATGTGGCCACACTCTTCCCTTACCCTCCCCTTTATAACCTTTCTCTTCCTGCCATAAGCTCTCTTGCCCTGCACTTCTCCATCTGTGGAAGCAGCAGTTTGGTCTCTCCTCTCTCTCTCAATAAATCCTCCTCCCTTAAACTACGTGCGAGGCTGGGAAGGTAGCTCAGTGGTAGAGTGCTTGCCTTGCATGCCTGAGGCCCTGGGTTCAATTCCTCAGCACCACATACGCAAAAAGAAAAAAGCCGGAAGTGGCGCTGTGGCTCAAGTGGTAGAGCGCTAGCCTTGAGCTGAAGGGCTGAGGGACAGCGCCCAGGCCCAGAGTTCAGGCCCCACAACCGAACCCAAAAAAAAAAAAAAAAACCATGTGCGAGTTTCCTTTTGGCAACTGTTATAGTAAGATCCTAAAATAGGTGTAAAACTATGTTAATAATAATGACTGAATGGCATCCTACTACTTTATCCTTATAGAGTCAGAACACCCAATGATCAATATAAACAATTCTCCTTTAGTGATATATACTTGACAATGTCTTAGAAATCACAGCCTCAAGCCGGGCTGCACTGGTGGCTTACAGCTATAATCCTAGCTACTCAGGAGGCTGAGATCTGAGGATCACGGTTCAAAGCCAGCCCCAGCAGGAAAGTCCATGAGACTCTATCTCCAGTAAACCACAGAAAACCGGAAGTGGCACTGTGGCTCAAGTGGTAGAGTGCTCACCTTGAGCTGAAGAGCTGAGGCACAGCGCCCAGGCCCATAGTTCAAGCCCCATGACCAACAAAAAGTAAAGTAATTAATTAATTAATTAATTAGACTGTCAGGTATCGGTGGCTCATGCCTGCAATACTATCTACTTAGGAAGCTGAGATTTGAGGATCACAGTTGAAAGCCAACCTGGGCAGGAAAGTCTGTGAGACTCTTATCTCTAATAAACTACTTAGAAAAAGTCAGAAGTGGCATGTGTCTCAAGTGGCAGAGTGCTAGCCTGGAACACAAAGATTCAAGAACAGTTCCCAAGCCCTGGAATGGCAAAAAAAAAAAAAAGCGCAGGAGACTCCATCTCCAAAACAGCAAAAAGCATGGCTGAAGGCCTGGCTCAAGTGCTAGCGTTCTAGGCTATGCAGTAAGATGCCCTGAGTTCAAATCCTAGTACCAAAGAAAAAAGAATCCTACCCTACCACTTACCAGTTCTCTCAGAGCTGATCTTCCAAGTAGAATTGTCCACAGTTCCCTACTGCTCCTGAAAAATGAGAAAGCAGGGGTCATTTTGCTATTTTAGCAAAAAAAAAAAAAAACTGATGACCAAAATAAAAACAAAGAATTTAAGATTTTCACCTAAACCAAACAAGTCACATATTAAAAATTGAAGAGAGCATGCTGGGTGGCTCATGCTTGTAATCCTAGCTACTCAGGAGGCTAGTTCAAAGCCAGGAAAGTCAGTGAGACTCTTATCTCCAATAAACTACTCAGAAAATGCCAGAAGTAAGCCGGGTGCTGGTGGCTCACGCCTGTAATCCTAGCTACTCAGGAGGCTGAGATCTGAGGATCGCGATTCAAAGCCAGCCCGGGCAAGAGACACCGTGAGACTCCTATCTCCAATAAACCACCAGAAAACCGGAAGTGGCGCTGTAGCTCAAGTGGTAGAGCGCTCGCCTTGAGCTGAAGAGCTGAG